TACAGATATCATCCACGCCTGTATCACAATAACAACATATAAACATACAGACACAATTTTCACTTCTATTTACATACAGCGAGTTTGTGGGTTGTAATATTGTCCTGAATCATGAGATATTTCCCTTGGTACAAATACTTCTGTGCTTATCAAAACATGGGTTATTCGTTCAATTCATTAAAGGTCAAGGATCTTATTTAGAGTTGAGCGGACACCTGGATGTTCGGGTCCAGCGGGTTGGGCCGAACTTTGAAAAAAAGGTTCGGGTTCGGGCTCGAACTTGAGCCCGAACTTGACCCCGGACCCCAATGAAGTCAATGGGGACCTGAACTTTGGGGCACAAAAATGCCTCTAAAAACCTACTGGAAAGAGCCAGAGAGCTTCAAAAGCAAGTAAAATGGCGGTAAGAGTAGGACAAGTGCCCTGCAAACAAATGTGGATAGGGAAATCACTTAAAATAACATAAAAATTAAAAATACAGCTGAGCCATAAAATAGCACTAGATCGAATCTTTGATTTTAGCTTTGGAAGAACATAAATCAAAATCTAAAGCACCATGTCAGGGGGATCACCAGAATTGTCCATTTAAGAGAGGGTTGGAGTGCAGGGTATTCTCTTTCATTGTTCAAACTGAGCTCAACTCCTGATGCATGGAGAAAAGGCCTTCACAAGCCTCTTCTATTGTGAACATAGTTTATACTACGTGACCCATAGGTTGAGGAGGCGGTGACCGTGGCGGTGTAGGTGGAAGCGGTGGTGGAGGAGGAGGAGGTAGCCAACACTGTTTTTATATATATATATATATATATATATATATATATATATTTATTTTTTTAATTGTGGTAGCCCACAAAATATTGGGACATACAAAAAAAGAAACATTTGCGGCCTGCGGTGCATTTCTTGCAGTCCTAATGCATGGAGAAATGCTCAACTCCTGATGCATGGAGAAAAGGCCTTCACAAGCCTCTGCTATTGTGTACATAGTTTATACTAAGTGACCCATATGTTGAGGAGGCGGTGACTGTGGCGGTGTAGGAGGAGGAGGAGGTAGCCAACATTTTTTTTTTTATGTTTGTTTGTTTTTTTAATTGGGGTAGCCCACAAAATATTTGGACATACAAAAAAAGAAACATTTGCGGCCTGCTGTGTATTTTTTGCAGTCCTGATGCATGGAGAAATGCTCAACTCCTGATGCATGGAGAAAAGGCCTTCACAAGCCTATGCTAATGTGTACCTAGTTTATACTAAGTGACCCATAGGTTGAGGAGGCGGTGACCGTGGCGGTGTAGGTGGAAGCAGCGGTGGATGAGGAGGATGAGGTAGCCAACATTGGTTTTTATATATATTTTTTTTTATTTTAATTGTGGTAGCCCACAAAATATTGGGACATACAAAAAAAGAAACATTTGTGGCCTGCGGTGCATTTCTTGCAGTCTTGATGCATGGAGAAATGCTCAACTCCTGATGCATGAAGAAAAGGCCTTCACAAGCAGGGCCAGACTGGCCCACCGGGATACTGTGAAATTTCCCGGTGGGCCGTCGGCACCTGGTGCCGGGCAGATAGCTGTCTGTTCTGTCTCTGCTCCCCTGCTCTCGCGCACAACTTAATGAGACTGGGGCCGGAATATGACATCATATTCGGGCCCCGGTCTCATTAAGCTGTGTGCTGGGGAGCAGAGACAGCACAGACAGCTCTCCCCTGCGGCCGCCATTACCACTCTCCCTGCGGCCGCCATTACAGCTCTCCATGCGGCCATTAGCCCACCAAGCAAAACATGGGTTTTGCCAAACTTAGGCAGCATGTGCCCCAAGCCCAAGGTTCCAACAAGAAGATGAGCAAGGTGGAGACCCTGCGATCAGCTGTGCAGGACCTTCTGATGGATAGACAATCTTCTGGAGATGGACAGGGGGCCAGGACAGGCTCTAATGTACTCTCTCCCTGCGGCAGCAGCTGCTCTGGAGATTCTGGATCCATGCCCTTGTCCCCTGGGTCCTGCTCATCTTATATGTCTGAAGAGTGCTCCCAGGAGGACAGTAGTAACGTGTCTGATGCAGACCTATTCCTAACACTACACTGCTGGGGATAGCTAAGAGGTTAGTGCACCTGACTTCCTTTTACTTCATTGTATATTGGGAATCTTCAGTGATTAAACCTGTCAGTGTCTTCTAGTGACTCCTTAAACATCATTGCCAAGGACAGTTTGTGGCAAGTACACACACACACAGACACACACCCAAGCACCCTGACATACATAGAAACACTTAAAGAAATATACACATGCTAATACACACAGAAACTCCCTGACAGACACACACACAAACACAGCAAGACTCAAAAAGATACACACATGCTAATACACACACAAGCACCCTGACATACACACATACACACACACAGCAAGACTCAAAGAGATACACATATACTAATAGACACACACACTGAAAAAATCTCACACAGACATATACATATTCCTCTCCATTTTCCTGTGGGTCCTGAAGCAGCTACATTGGCTGTAGTTCCCCCCTGAAATGTGGGACAAGATGTTTAGTTTTCCTCTGACTGTCCCAGCAAATTCAGGACTGTTGTCAACTATGCTTATGGCTGGGATAACGCACAATAGAGTGCGTTTGATTGTCTAGAGCTGTACTACAGTACTATTAACATCTTATCAATGATATTACAATATAATTTTTTTTATTATTCGATGTACTCATTTATTGTCAGGTTTCAGACTTTATCACAAAGTTTATATTCATTTGCTATCAAATAATAGCAGATGTGAATGACGATTTTCTGCAGCACATTTTACTAATCCAGTCTAGTTTTATTTTTTTTACTTTCAAAATATGTAAATGGACTTTGGTAATGTAGTCATGCTGGGTACTTCTTTATATTCATCAATGACATATTAACATCTAAATGGAAAGAACTCTGCACTGTTGCCAGAGGAATAACAGGAGCAAACCACAGAAGCCACACATAGAGATATGGACACAAGTCTTCAGGAAGTAACAGGTCTTTTATTTACACACCGATCGGTCTCACACTGAATTTGTGTTCAAAAGGTATGAGCCCAGAGCATAGTTTGCACATGCTATTTATTAACAATAACTCCTCCCATTCATAGCTCCACTCACATATACCCTTAGACCAATCAGTGAACAGGATATTCAGGATCACCAAATATGGGCAGACCGTATGACTCCTTTTAAGGACAAAGGAATGTGACTACAGTTGATGCACATTCTCAGTACATTGATGACAGTATCTTAGCTACATGTAACTAACTTACAGATACAACAAACACCTGTACTTGTGTATGCCACATGGAGATTTCAGGCCTACTAAATTTTGAACCATGTTGAAATCCCATTGCATTCCCCCATTTGATGCTTCTGATACAAAGTTATTCCAGATGCATCACTAATCATAATTTGCCAACACCTTTCAAGTAACCATGAGCCGGGACAGACCTTATAAGCATTCTAACTTAACTCTATTACCTCTCAACACTCATCGACCTGATTATTAATAGTCTCTCTCTGTGTTAGGGGTTCATCTTTCCAGATGGCCATTACATGAGCAGCTGTCTTCCTTTCTATAGTGCTCTCAATAACACTACGTATAGACCTAACTACTAATGGAATCAGACAGGGCAGGAAGAGGCATAAGAAATAATAAATAGCACTTCTCCTACCAATGCCTTAATCCCACCAAACTGCTCATACCAACTCCCAAACCAACTATTTGGATTATACCCGTTCCAAGTTTGAGTGGGTACGTGCACCGGTTTAACCATATTGCTGGTAATGTCAATCACTTCCCTGCCCCTCATCATCTATATGCAAACATCAATTACTAAGGTTAAACTTTCCACACACACCTTCTTCTACTGCCAGCAAATAATCAAGAGCCAGCCTATTTTGGTAAATGGCTGATCTCATGCGGGTATTTTGCGTCGCCAAAAGGTTAAGGGCCTTAGCTGTCTCATTGGTTATGATCTCAACCACCGCCTGTAATCTTATAATGCGGTTGAGCATATATATATGGGGGTTCGGTAACCATAAGTACCATCTTCAGCCCAGGTAGCAGGTCCATTATAATTAATAATACGTTGGGGAGACCACTCATCATTTTCCCAGTTACCTACGTTCAATGATGCTCGCTTCTTTTTATGATTTACATCATAAACCTTAACTCCCAAGGTCTCTCCCATTTCAGTTGGTAACAAGAAGAAGGATGGTTTGAGCATACCTAGCACACATGCTCCCTCCCAATCTTGTGGCAACTCCAAGTATGCTTTCTTACCACAGATCCAGTATAAATTCACTGGGGCTTTCCAATTGGATGTAATAGATAAGTCAAACCATACCTCTTTCAGATTGGTGTAAATGGCAAAAGGTTTAGTACGTTCCGAGACATTTGAAGCTGACCACTAAGTAGTATCTTTTGTATCAGCATTATAGGCCTTCTGTCCCAGACATGTTAACTTGCCAACTAGTGTATTATACAGTGGCCCTTTTCTGGCTAAACATACATGACCTATAATAGATGTTTTTAACTGCCATTCTGATTTACCTTTAGTACTTACTTGATGATCAGACTGAGCAGGCATCTATTTTTCATCTGTCTCAGAACCAGGGTACCAAATCTCTTTTGTCTCCCATGGCCATTGGTCTCCCATATTAGTACCTCCACATACAAAGCAGTTACTTATATTAAGACTACCTGCAATACTCTCAGCCAAATCAATACATAGGTTCTTAACATTATGGTGAATTTTATCCTCAACACTCATCTCCTCATAAAAGGAATGGAGAACCTGATGAGTCTGAGCAGCTGTTGTCTCGGTTTCAATACCTACATATAATATGCCTCCCGTATCTGTTCCTGTACCATGTATCTGAAACCCAAAAAGACTCCCAAACGTATCAATAAATTGCTGTTGATTGGAAATGGTCATATGTACAGGATTACATTCCATGGTTTTACAATAGGTGGGCAACCTTTGGATAATCATGTCTTGATCTACTATCTTTCCCCAGGTCGCCCACCCTACACATGACCAATATGGGCAGCAGTTAAAGTCAG